AGGATAAGGAAAACAAAGGCAGAGTTCACTTTCGGTCCACATCTCGTCGCAGACGTGCAACCCAATCCCATTTCTCATATCTTGTGGTAGGCGTACCACCCGATCCCATTTCATTATATCTCGTGGTAGGCGTATCACCCGATCCCATTTTATTATATCTCGTGGTAGGCGTACCACCCGCTCCCATTTCATTATATCTCGTGGTAGGTGTACCCCCCGATCCCATTTCATTATATCTCGTGGTAGGCGTACCACCCACTCCCATTTCATTATATCTCGTGGTAGGCGTACCACCCGTTCCCATTTCATTATATCTCGTGGTAGGCGTACCACCCGCTCCAATTTCATTATATCTCGTGGTAGGCGTACCACCCGCTCCCATTTCCAAGCCAACACAAAATCACAATGGAATCCCGGCAAGGGAACAAAAGCAACATAATAACTCCCCGATAAGGGAACAACAATATCAAGACAAACATCCCGGCAAGGAGAATCAGCTATAACCAATCCTAACTCAACTCCTACTCAGCTATACCAAAACTTGTTCCAATATCTAACTACCTCAGCTATAGCTAGACTTGTTACAACACCTAACTACCTCGGCTATACCCCAAACTTGTTCCAACACCTAACTACCTCAGCTATAACCATAATCCTTACCTAACGCAAAGAATCATCAACCTAAGTATCCGTAATATCAATTAAGAACACCATGCAAGGGAACCACAACTAAACAATAGCCCGGCAAGGGGGCAACATAATGATCTCTTCTCTTTCTCACTTTTACTTCACAATTCACTTCACAACTCGAGCCACTGCTCTAGAGGTTCAATTATCACCTATACTTTCACAATTCGTTATATAACTGGAGCCAACGCTCTTCAATGTTCATAGGTAACAATTCTTTTCACAATTTTACACAACAAATAGAAATTTTCACCAAGGCAAGAAGAATACAACGAATTCATGGAAATCACAAAATAAGACTCACGGTCATGTTCGACACCAACGTATAGATACTTGTCACCTTGCCTATACATCGTACTCAACAAGAAACAAATAGCAAATAGGACACAACTCCTAATCCCTCTAGCTAAGGTTAGACCAAACACTTACCTCGAACTTCCACGGCCAACTCAATCCTCAAATACCGCCTTTCCTTTCGAATTTGGCTCCAACACAATCGTATCTATACATAATCAACTTAATAACATCAATAAATGCTAAACAATCCAATTCCAATGCTCAATTATAGCTTTTTAATCATTCTTCCCAAAAACCCAAAAATCAACTTCGGGCCCGCTTGGTCAAAACACGAAGTTCGAACCAAAATCCGCTCCCCCATTCACCCACGAGCCCGAATATATGATTAGTTCCGGAATTCGACCCCAAAACGAGGTCTAAATCGCAATTAATCAAAAAGCCCTAACTCTACCCAAATCCCTAATTTTCTACCCTTAATCTCATGTTTTAGGCCTAGAAATCTAGTGGGTGTTGATAAAAATGGAAGATAACAAGTTAGAAATTACTTACCCAAGAGATTATGGTGAGGAGATGCTTCAAAAATCGCCTAAGAGCTTTGGAAAAGAAGAGGTTTTTGAAAGTTTATGAAAATCCCGTAAGTGTTCTGTTTTTGAGACTTAAAAATAACTGGGCTAAATTGCCCTTCGCGTTCGCGACAGGCTCATCGCGTTCGCAATGAGTCAGGCCTGAAGACCTTCGCGTTTGCGACATCGGGCTCGCGTTCGCGGAGAGTAAACTCCTCGAGCCCTCACGTTCGTGTCAAAGGGTCGCGTTCGCGTAGAATAAATGCCCCACCCCTGCCCAGGCTCATTTGGCCTTCGCGTTCGCGTGGCCAGGACCGCGTTCGCGAAGGGTTAACGCCCCAAAGCCTCGCGTTCGCGACCTGTGCTATGCGTTCGCGTAGAAGGAATTTCCTTCATCATAATTTAATGCATCGCGTTCGGGAGGGTTCTCCCGCGAACGCGAAGAAGGAAACATCAGAAACCCAACAGCTGAAAACCTGCATTTTTTCTTAAGTCCGAAACCTTCCGAAACACATCCGAGCCCTCGGGGCTCCTAACCAAACATACGTACTAACTCAATGACATCATACGAACTTATCGGTGCGATCAAATCGCCAATATAACCTCAATAACAATGAATTAAACCTCAAAGTCAAAGGATTTTTCTCAAACTTCATAAAACATCAACTTTTGCAATTTAGGTCCGAATCACGTCAAATGACATCCGTTTTTCACCAAATTTCACAGAATCATCTTAAATCATATATAAGACATGTACCGGGCGCCGAAACCAAAATACGGGCCCGATACCAACATGTTCTACTCAAGTTTCAATTCAAATTCTTTTAAACAATTTCAAAAAAAAGTTTCTTCAAAAATTCATTTCTCGGGCTTGGGAACTCGGAATTTGATTCCGGGCATACGCCCAATTCCCATATTTTCCTACGGACCCTCCGGGACCGTCAAATCACGGGTCCGGGTCCGTTTACCAAAAATGTTGACCGAAGTCAACTTAAATGCATTTTAAGTCAAAATTTCAATATTTCACAGATTTTTCACAAAACAGCTTTCCAGCTACATGCCCGGACTACGCACGCAAATTGAGGTGAAGGTAAAAGAGGTTTTTAAGGCCTCGGAATATAGAATTTAATTTAAAAGCAAGTGATAACCTTTTGGATCATCACAAATACAAATAATTCTTATCATTCTATTTTCTAAATTGGAACCGTAGTTTCAAAAAATTATGCTATGCTTTCAAACTTATACTAACTGCACTTATTCAGATATTAATCAAAGAAAAATATTTTTTTATTTGTTTGAACACATTATATCTAAATGTTGTAGTAATATTTTCACTGTCACATTATTTCTTATGTAAATTTTCTTTCTTTTTAGATTTAATACAACTTTAATTTTAATTTTCATTAGTATAATTACCTATATTAGAAATTTATTTTATATTTTAGTTATTTTTTTCATAAATAAGACTTCAATTTCATGATAGTATCCATAGTTTGAGCATTCAAATCATAGTTTTAACAACTTTCTAATTTCAAATTCAATTAGCCTTTCCCTTTCATTTCTAATAGTAAATTTTTAATAATTTAACATAATTTTGCTAATTTTTTAAGTATTGTATATTTAATTTTAACAACTTTCTAATTTCAAATTTAATTAGCCTTCCCCTTTCTAATTTTAAGTTTGTATTTTAATTTATTTTATTTTCTAAACTTATGATTTATAAATATCCTCACATTATCTCTAATTTATTTCTATTATTCAATATTTTTAGTTTTGGATTTTGTCTATTAAGCTTGAGTTACGTGGACCTATTCATATTATGACTTTTCTTATTATAATATAAAAAACTTTCTCTCTCAAATTTAAATAAGTTTTACCCTTTTTTTCTATGATAAAAAATCTAAAAAAAAAATTCTATTTATTTTTTATTTTTAATATTATATTATTCAATATTTAATATTATCATGTGGATTTTTATTAGCTTGTTTGAATTTAATATCTATTAATACCACACTCATTCTAATATAACATAGACAAAAATTTAAAAACTTTCTCAAATTCAAATAAGTTTTATTATTCTATTCTCTAAATTTGACTGCATTTTCAAAAAATTATGTTATGCTTTCAAACTTAAACTAACTACACTCAATTCAAATATTAATCACAAAAAAATATCTTCTTAATTGTTAACCCATTATATCTGAATGTTGTAGTAATATTTACGTATAAAATATTCGTTTGCACGATTTTTCAATCTTAATATGACATTATTATTCTTGTTATTAAAATATTTTTTACTAATCATTTGAGTTTTTTCTTACCTTATAAAAATTTATATACTTTATGTAAGATCTTATTTTGCCGCTTGAATTTATTTAATTTTTAAACTTAATAAATCTTTAATATCTTAAGTAAATTTTAATTTTATTTTAACTTACTCCAAAGTATAAATTGTCACAAGTTATCTCAATCTACGACTTTCTATATTTTTTTATTTTTTTCTATTATAACTTTTAGTTAATTTTTTACCTCCATATTTCTAGCTAATATAGAAAAAAAATCTATGGGTGGATCAATATAGATATAAATATAAATATAAATATAAATATATAGATTAGATTTGTCTAAGATTTATTTAGATTGAGCATAAGTTTATTAAACTACTTCCATTAATTATGTTTCCATTTATAATTCATATTTTTAATGTTGTCTTAAAATTGCCAAGTGGCTTCTTTTTAGCTTGCCACTTGACTTAACCACATGCTTCACTACTATCCTTTTAATATAACTAGATGAGAAAAGGCCCGTATACGGGCCCAACATTTCAATTTTATTAAAATTATTATTTATTGGTGTTTAGTTAATTAACTTTTGAGGTTTAACAAGCTATATTTTTTAAAATTACTTTTGAATACAAAAATATTTAGTTTGAAATCGTCTTCAAATAGTATGGATAGATGAAAATCATTTCATTTTTATTTTCAAATTGCTTTAAGATAGTATGGGTAAATATGAAAATCTTGTAAATATCGATACTTCTTTTTTGTTGTTGTATTATTTAAAAGTTAATTTTATTTTCTCTATAAAAACTTTTATTTGAATAAAACAAAATTAATAATTTTCCAAAATGAGAAAAAGATTGGAAATGAGCACACAAACAGTCTAATCAACACATGCATAGTGCATTTAAAGGAGAGTTGTGGATAGAGAAATATGAGGTCCACATGTATTTTGCATTTAAGAAATACAAACATAGAATTTTTATGAACTAACATATATATGTCCTTGGTCAACCATATTTCCTTTTCTATATAATAGAAAATATAGATACTTAGAAAGTAAATCGTTATATTTGACCCTTTTCGGATGAATTAAACATAACATTATTATTGCACCAAAAAAAAAAAAAAGATAACATTATTATACTGTCCTTCAATTTGGTAAAATGAACTTGTGGCTGCAGTCTATGCCACCTTATTCTTCTGTGTTTCACACACCTCTATATTCCCACTATATACTTTTAATCAAAATTCATCAAAAAGTTAGCAGTAGCAGCAGCAAATTAAAATGGCAAACAATGAAACCCCAGTTCGTTTTGGCATCATAGGATGTGCAGAAATTGCAAGAAAAATGTCAAGAGCCATTAATTTATCTCCAAATTCAACCCTTTACGCTATAGCAAGTCGTTCAATTGAAAAAGCCAAGAATTTTGCAATCAAGAACAATTTATTATCAGATTCTATAAAACTTTATGGCAATTATATTGAATTACTAAATGACCCTTTTGTTGATGCAGTTTATATGCCTTTACCAACTAGTTTTCATCTTCATTGGGCAATTTTGGTTGCTGAAAAAAAGAAACATTTGTTGTTGGAAAAACCTACTGCTTTGAGTGTAAGTGAACATGATAAGATTATTGAAGCTTGTGAAAGAAATGGTGTTCAGTTTATGGATGCTAGTATGTGGTATCATCATCCTAGAACTGCTAAAATGAAGGAGTTCATTTCTGATCCTAAACTCTTTGGACAAGTCAAAGCAGTAAGTTTTAGATGAGACTTTAATTATTGTAATTGTTCAAGTTTACCCTTCCTCGTGAGCCGAGGGTCTATGAGAAACAACCTTTCTACTCCGGATATTTCTCCGGAGTAGGAAAGTCTGCGTACATACTATCCTCCCACTTGTGGGATTCACTGGGTTGTCGTTATTGTTGTTGTTCAAGTTTACCCTTGTGCTATATTTTAATTTTACCTTGTCTTATACTTACCGTTAGTAAATCGTTTCATATTTGAGCTCTGGGTGGACTTCATATGTAAAAATACTTTGGTAAAGAAGTCCAATTTATCCCTCTACTTTTGAATATTGTCTAGAGTTGTATCCAGGGGCGGCGCTAGGTGGGCGAAAGGGGGTTGGTCAAAAATTACACTGTATATATAAAGTTAATTGTTTGCCATATATATATATTGGACGTCAAATCCTCTTAGTTTCTTTGCGTGTTTACTTTTTTTATTTTTTGAATCTTCTTGGTGAAAATCCTGCTTCCGCCGGTGGTTGCATTCCGCTATAGTTTTGGTTGGCTTTTTGTTAGGGTGGAGGGAAAATGTTATAGATGATATGCTAACAATAAAAGTATGAGCGATAATACAACGGATGATAAAATTAAGATAATTTGTATTGTAAAGGGGTAATTTTGACCTGTTGCCCTTAATTCTTTCTTGTTGTCATCCCAGACTTGATGTTGAGCATACCAAAAGGGAAAATAATGTAGTCTAGTTTAACTTGAGTTAAGATATATTACTAGTATTTCAAGAATTATGTCTCCATGTGACCTCTAGCTCATGGGTTCGAGCCGTGTAAGTAGCCACTAATGCTTGTATTAGGATAGGTTGTCTACATCACACCCGTTGAGGTGCGGCCCTTCCCCGGACCCTGTGTGAACGCGGGATGCCTTGTGCATCAGGCCGTCCAAGAGCCCCTTTATACTTTAGATGTTTGGTACATTTATCTGGACAAGTTTATAGCAGATTTCATAAATTTTACCTGTCTTTATGGTCCATTACACTATTGGTGTACCACAGTAGCTTAAAGTTCCTTATTTATTTGCAATTTCCGGAGACGATTCCTAGTTGTGATTGCATTATAGAAAAACATGTAACCATGCTCGGATATGACTAAACTTTGGAAATTACATAGCATCTATTCTTAATTTATGGTGGACTAGTTTCCTGTTAGTACCAGCATGGGCGGAACCCTTCGCCGGAATATTATACTATACATACTATGTCAAAATTAATTTTTATATATGTGGAGTAGATGTTGAATCGCCTTGACTTCTTTGTATGTTTATTTCCTTATATTTGGAAACCCCTTACTGAAATTCCTGGCTCCGTCAGCCAGCTTATTCTAGACTTCACCATTTCTTTCTTCATGTAGTTCACTATGTAGCTTGACAATTAAGGGATCCGTGGAAATCCCGAATAGTCTGATATATGTGTGTATAAAGTAGGATATGTAGTTTCAGTTCATGAATCTAAACAATCATTTGTTATTTAGGTTTTGTTCCAAAAATGTTAGTATAGATGATTGTGTAACGTAACTAACCTATACAAGTGCTCTTTTTTGGTAAGATCCACAGCTCGTCATCATATTCACCGGGTCCGGAGTTTCTTGAAAACAACATCAGAGTAAAACCAGACTTGGATGCCCTTGGGGCGCTGGGAGATGCGGGTTGGTACTGCATTGGCGCGATATTATGGGCTATGAACCAAAACCTGCCAACAACTGTAACCGCACTGCCTACTGTTGCAAGAAATTCGGCTGGTGTCATCTTGACATGCAGTGCCTCCTTGTATTGGGAAAAAGAGGAAACTGTCGCTACATTTTACTGCTCTTTCGTTTCACATGAAACGATGGACTTGAAAGTTTATGGCTCCAATGGTACCTTTTATCTCTACGACTTCATTATCCCGTTTGAGGAGAACTCTGCTTCGTTCAGCTTTACTTCTGGTGCCAAGTTTGTGGATCGCCATATCGGATGGAACGTGAAACCTCAGTTAGTTGAAGTAAATTCTAAGTTGCCGCAAGAGGCTGCGATGATTCAAGAATTTTCTAGGCTGGTTAAGGCTATTGAAGTATCGAAAAGCAAACCGGAGAGCAAATGGGCGCATAGTAGCAGAGTCACTCAACTTGTGCTGGATGCTGTGAACAAATCTATCGACCTTGGTTTCCAACCAGTTCGTATATAAATGCTTATGTTCATAACAATTGTTACGTGTTGCCCTTAAGAAAACAGTAAATTCTGTTGAAGTTGCAGTTCTACTGTCCAAGTAGACTTACTTGGCTGAAACAGTAAGTACACTAATGTATTCCAATAATTGACTTTAAGAAATTGTGTAGACATTCTTTATTATCTACTGGAATGAGTTTTACGAAGAGAAATAGCAAGTGGTTACATAGGTATATATGTTTGAGCTATTATTGCCTTTAACTGCAAAGAGAATTTGGCACAAGAAGCTGCCATTTAAGGTATCGTTTTTCAAGCCGGGGAACTGTCGCTGCATTTTGGTCAGCCTGCTGGTCTAACGTGTGCTGCTGATCTCAGACAGACATTGGTGAAATCTATGTTGCCCGAACTCTTCAAATATATTGGCGGAGGCTTATCGGATACTCCAAAAGTAGTGCTTTTATGAAGATCCAATACGAGTGCGTCAGCATTTTCGAAGAGTCCGATCAACATAGAGTAAAATGGTGGATGGTTAAACATGTCAATGAAGCACATGCAATCATCCTGCTTTGTGTACCTTCTATTATGTTGATGTGTGTTCTATCACTAGACTCATTTTTCAGGTTAACACTTTAATAGTGATGTTGCTTAAGGTCATGTTTAAAGGGATGGATCGACATTTGCGACAGAGTTGAGCATTTTAAAGCTCCCTGCAGATTACTCCTATGAAGTGGATTTCTCCTCGTTCTCGAAGGCTCAAACTCAAAACACCAGATGGTAGCAGCTGCAATGGTTCATTACATACTGCAGGTATGAGAGGGGTTGTTAGAAACAAAAACGAAGAGTTCGTTTATGGCTTTTGCCCAACCTCATGAATTCTGCACTAACAACTTGGCAGAAACTCAGGCTGCACTATCTGGTTAGTTATGGTGGAACTTAAGGATGACATTGTGAAGATGAATGAGATAATTCACTTTGTATATTTTCTAGGACATAAAAAGGGCAGCCCAGTGCACTAAATCGTTCCCGCTCTGCGCGGGGTCTGGGGAAGGGCCGGATCACAAGGGCCTATTGTAGGCAGCCTTACCCTGCATTTCTGCAAGAGACTGTTTCCACGGATCGAACCAATGACCTCCTGGTCACTTGGCAACAACTTTACCAGTTACGCCAAGGCTCCCCTTCATATTTTGTAGGACATCTTTACACAAATATTTGGCTGAATTTACTATTTATTTTTTCTAGTCAGTATACATAAATTATATGCTAATTATATATATCAACCAGTTATTTTTTGTTTAAGCGGTTAAGTCGAGCTGTTATTAGGTTAATTCTTCATTTTCTTGTTTTCTCACTTTTACTAGTGTTTTTGGACTTAACATAAAGGAGGAGTCCTCCTCACTTCAGGTTTAATTTTTTGCACACTTTTGTACCAGAATGACTGTCATTTTTCAGTTCGTATAGAAGGCTCAAGTCTATTTTCTCCTCCGTATATTGTGTAAAGTCTATGTTCTCCTCCATATACTGTTTTACACAAGTAGAGGTTCATGCCTAATGAGGAACGGTCATGAAGAAGCAACGACTATTGTTCATTAGGTTATTTCTGATATGCCCACAAAATTTTAGGCGATTTGGGGCCGGTTGCCCGAATTCATGAATATAGCGTGGAGAGTTAGCACACGAAAAATCGAAAATCGTGTTGAATTCCTATTTTATGGTCCTAAAACGTCAAAATCAGAAACGGTCATGGAGAAGCAATCTATTGTTTATTGGGTCGTTTCTGATGGCTCACAAAATTTTAGGCGATTCGAGGCCGGTCACCCGAATTCATGAAGATGGCGTGGACATATTAGCACATGAAAAGTCGAAAATCGTGCTGATGGCCCTAAAATGCCAAAAATAAGGAACGGTCATGGAGAAACAATGACTATTGTTCATTAGGTCATTTCTGATGGGCCCACAAAATTTTAGGCGATTCGGGGTTGGTCGCCCAAATAAATGAAGATGGCGTTGATATTAGTACACGAAAAATAGGAAATCGTGTTGAATTCCTGTTATATGGCCCTAAAACGTCAAAAAACGAGGAATGGTCATGGAGAAGCAATGACTATTATTCATTAGGTCGTTTCTGATAGACCTTAGGCTGTTCAGGGTCGGTCCCCCGAATTCATGAAAATCGTGGACATTAGCACACGAAAAATCGAAAATCACATTGATTTACTGTTTTATGGCCCTAAAATGCCAAAAAACGAGGAACGGTCATGGAGAAATAATGACTATTGTTCATTATGCCGTTTTTTTGTTAGTAGTATTTTGTTTATTTGTTACTATTAAAGTGTGACACCGGTTATAAAAAATTCTATATACACCATGGTGACATGATATTATTGAAACGTTAAGCATGATATAGAAGTGTTCTCTTCGAAATGAACCATGGCATCCTAGAGTTTCATCAATATGAATCATGTTAAAGTTATTTGGCATTAATATATGCATTGTTAGTTAGCTGGTTGGTTGCTCATGATATTTATAAGATGATGTATTGTTAGGTTTTTTACTTTCTTTTTCCCTTTCCCTCTTGGACAAAAATCTTTACTTCTTTACAATGGATCAGAAATTTGCTCTTCCATTTTTGTGAAACCATATCTCTTCACGTGAAGAGTTGATTCTCTCTCAAACGGCAAATTCCAACCCGTGACACCCCTTTGATTTTCATTTTCTGAACGGAAAAGGGTTCAAAATGCCCCTAAACTATTGGAATAGGTTTAAAAATAGGAATTTTTACCTTCTATAGCAAAGGTTAACACCTTATTTATTTTAAGTAAATACCATTTAAAAAAATTATATTCTACAGATACCTTTTAAGGTTTATCAAAATATTTAATTTTGGTTACCTCCTAGCCCTAAGCCACTAAATACGCTAATCAGTTACACTATTTTCTTTCTCTCTCTACTTTGATACATCCCATTCTCTTCCCTCATCCCATTAAAATTTCTCAGTGTAAATAAAATCTCATACTTCCTCTCTCACGCTTTGTTCCCTAACATACCAGGTCCCCCGCCACCATTAACGCCTAAATTGACCCACCTCCGCCGTCTACCACCACGGATTCCCTCTTGGACAGTGGACGATACCATACAATTCAAGCGATTGAATATCCCTTTGTTCAGTGAGATCAAGAAAACAATAAGCACGGATTTCTCAATGGTAATCGATGACAAGGCCTCAATCGAAGTGGAAGACGATATAGTAGACCGGATACTAGGTGGATTATTTCGTTGCTCGACGACGGATTCGCCGGAAATTAGGGTTTGTTCTTGAACAAAGACAACGGAGTTTGGGGCTGAGCAACTTGATTTTCTGTTAATATATTGCAATGTATTTTCAATGTATCACACTATATTTTCATGTATTTCATTGTATTCATTGTCGTTTTTTTCATTGTAATTCAATGTATCTCGTTGTATTCCATGTATTTCATTGTATTCACTGTCTTTTTTTTCATTGTATTTCAATGCATCCCGCTGTATTATATGTATTTCATTATATTCACTGTCTCGCTATATGCCATGAATGTATTTATATATTTTTTTTAATTAATATAATTTATGTATTAAGATGTATTATATAATTTCTCTGAAGATTGCTATATTTTTGGGGTATTTTTCGGTTGAGAATCTTTTTTATAACTGAAAATACAAAATTTATGTGTTATAATTGCGTTTGTTGAGTTATATTAGGAGTCTATTATGTTAATTGATTCACTTTCCGTTTTAAAAATAGTGTAATCCCCTATTTCACGCCGTGAATACAGTCGAATACAGTCGAATACAATAACATGTCCAGCTGTAATCCCATGTTTTACTCCATGAATACAGTCGAATACACTCGAATACAACAATTGATTAGATGAACTTCCCTGATTCACGCCTATTTTTGCTACTGTATTCATGAATACAATAGCTTAAATACATCAAATACATCTTATAACCACACAAAAGGTATCTATAATCCGTAATATAGCAAATGGTATCTATAGATGGCTAATTACTACCAAAAGATAGTGCTTTATGAAAATTTCTCTTAAAAATATCCTTCATTCACCTATTGGGCTAAAAATACCCCTCCATCCACCTTTTTGGTTCACTTATGCCCTTTGACCGTTAGGTCAATACTGAATTAAAAATAATATTATTCTTTTTGTAAAACTTAAAAAAAAATATTTTACAAAATATTTTCGTTTTTTTAAACTAATGCACCAGTAGTCCACTAATTTAGTAAAGTCTTCTTCTTTTTTCTTTTTATCAGTCTTTACAAAAAAAAAAAAAAAAGATTTCATTTTTTTTCAGTTTTTTTAAAAGCATTTTTATTGTGAAAACTCAAAAAAAATTTGTAAAACAGAAAAAAAATGTTTTTAATAAAATATTTTCGCTTATTAAAAATAAAAAAAATATTTTCAACAAAATATTTTCGATTTTGAAAAATATTGTTTTTCTTCATTTTTTCAGTTTTTCTAAAAAAACGAAATATTTTTCTTTAAAAAAAATTGAAAAACGAAATGCTTTTAAAAAAAACTGAAAAAAAAATATTTTTCAAAAACGAAAATATTTTGGTTGAAAATATTTTTTCAGTTTTTAAAAAATGAAATATTTTATTGAAGACATTTTTTTCTTGATTTTATAATTTTTTTTTCAGTTTTTACCAAAAAAAAAATGCTTTAAATAAACTGAAAAAAAAAAATAATTTTTTGTAAAACTGAATTGTTTTTTGTAAAAACTGAAAAAAAAATAAAAAGACTTTACTAAATTAGTGGACTATTGGTGCATTAGTTTAAAAAAACGAAAATATTTTGCAACATATTTTTCTTTAAGTTTTACAAAAAGAATAATAATTATTTTTAATTTTCATTGACCTAACGGTCAAAGGGCATAAGTGAACCAAAAAAGTGGATGGAGGGGTATTTTTAGCCCAATAGATGGATGAAGGGTATTTGTAAACCTTTTCCAATAGTTTCGGGGCATTTTAAACCCTTTTCCGTTTTCTGAATTCCAAGCCAGAACTCTAATCAGAGACGGAGTTAGGATTTGAAGTTTATAAGTTCTGAATTCATCATCGAACCCATATAGCTTGTCTTAGTTACTTGGTATGTAATTAAAGATTCATGCATGTTTTATGAATGTTGTAATACAAATACAGGGTTTAAGCTAAAGCTATTGG